AAGTGGCAGTAGCTGCAGTTAAATATATATATATATATATATGTATTACATCCCATAATGGGGAAATTCCAATGTGAGTCTTTGCAACCCACACAGGCTGCTGTGGGAGCCCCCATTAGGTATGCTGTTCCCCTGGGGCTCGAACCCAGAACCTTCTCCCTGTAAGGCAGATGTTCAAAGCAGGTGTGATAACAGCTGTATTAGTGGACTAGAGCCTGAATGTCATCCCTAACAGCATCTGTTAATGTTTTTTACAGCAGCATTAACAGATCGCACCACACCCATATTTTAAATGTCAAAAACCTTCGCGACCCAATGAATGCAGTCCAGGGACACATTTGGTTGTGTTTATCAGATCAACATGTCTATTGAAAAAAAAAAAAAAGGTGAAAAGAAATTGGACTTCTTGTCTTAACAGCAGGTTTGCTGCCCCCTTTGGAGGCACCGAGTATGTGGGGCCTCTGGGACTCGAACCCAGGACTTTCGGAGGTGTAAAGATATGGAGGCAGGTCTGACATCCACTGCACTACGGTTTTAAGGCTGAATTATGAATAGTGTTCATAAAGCACTTTTTACAGTATTCACGTAATGAGCTAGGGGCCACACGTAAGCAAACTTGCGTTGAGAAATCCGTACGCAACATAACGATGGTTAGCAACAACAGAGGCATCAACACTGGATGGTTTGAATACAGATTGAATGAAAGCTGAAGTACTGAATCTGTCCAGGAAATGAAGACAGAATAAAAAATCTTACATTTTCACACGTTTGAGTTTGTGTTTTGGAATCATTGATAACGAGATGAAGACAGAGTTTCTCCAAAGGATGAAACAGGAGCCAGAATGAGCCGTTAAGGATGATTTCAGTAGAACTAAAGCCGACAGAAAAGGCCGCTGCAGGCTGCGGCTGTGTTCACGCTTTTGTATGAACTTCAATCAAAACATACAGTAAACTTCACAGACAGTGAGAGTGTTGTGAGGAAAAGCTTTAGCCGTGAGGAGACAGTGGTAATCCCTGAGCCACTGAGCTGCACTTATCATCACTGCACTGAATTCACTGCTGGCAGTACTCCATATGTATGAATGGAAATCCATGCTGTCAAAACACATATAGGTTTTAATAAATTTATTTAAGTCAAAGCAGTGGCCCGTGGCCCAAATCTGGCCACTGCTCATGGCCATGACATTATCTACGAACTTTTACTGCAAAATATTATTTAACGTTATAACAAAATAAGCTATGATTTCAAAGCTTAAAAACATAACAAAAAGTAGAGCCCCGAACAAAGCCTTTAAACGACCAATTACTAACATAATTAACTAAATTAAAGGTTTACTTAAGAAATTGCTTAAAATGAGCCAAAAACATAGCAAGAACCGAGATTAGCATATACTGTAGATGAAAATGAACTAAAGATAACAGTCATGCTGAGCAGTCGATGAAAACATCCAAGTACAGTTATGATCAAAACTGGAACATTTATTGTACACCTATCAAACAAGCAAAAATGAGACATTTAATAAGAGCATTGGAGCTAACAAAGAGCTAAGACGACAAAGAGTTGCCCCAGAAAGGCCTTGTCCAGTCCAGAGTTTAATAACCAGAGGACATAGCCAACAAAGAGCTGAGCATGAACCATTTTGGTGTTGAAGGTCGATTTGCACATGGATGGAAATGTTATTGTTGATTAATGCTGACAGCAAAGAACACCACAGACTCAAACGTCTGAAATGTGCAATGAAAAAACAACCATTCAAACGCAAACAGAGAGAAAGGATGAGCGTCAGTGAGCGTCCAGATGTTCGACAGGCGGAGAAACAGATGAACCGTCACATAGTAAATGAACAAATGATCAATCCTCCTACGACTTCACTGCATGGCTGTGTTTGAAATGTTGAGATGTCACATGAAGGACATATTCAATCATCATCATTTCCCACACAGGAACTGCTTAGACTGTTACCATCATGTAGCCCAGAGGTGCCCCATAAGTAGATCGGGACCGACTGATAGATCGCAAAGGGAGTACAGTTAGATCATGAGCGATTAAAATAAAAATGAAAAATAAAGATTTGTTTTTTTATATTAAATCTCTAGAACTAGTTTAGCAATAATACTTTACTCGATCATATTGAGCCATACAGCTACAGCTATTTCATCAACATATAATGTATATATATATAAAGTATATTTATTTTATATGGCTGAATATATATTAAATATTATTTTCATATGGCTGAATATATATTAAATATTATCAATGTAGGTCGAGCACTTTGGTCTGGTCTATTGAATAGTAGCTCCCAAGCCAACAAAGTGTGGTTGTGGTCTATATCAGTGGTTTTCCCCCTGAGGGTCGCGGCCCTCTAGAAGGACGCATGAGGGGGTTGGGGGGCCCCAGAAAATTGGAGGCAAGATAAGAAAAAAATAGTAAGCATAATGTTACTTTCTTAGTGGCCAATGACCATTCATACTTCATAGCTATGGTCAATTAGCCAAAGTTAATAATTTTACCCATCAGCACAGGGAGCAGTGAGTGGGGCAGTGTCATGCCTGGTGCACCTGAAATCGAAAAATGGGAAAAACAGAACTCACCTGGCCAGGTTGAAGGCATCATCAATAAGTCCCGCCCTGTTTCCCACTGAGATGATCTACAGAGAAAATGACACAGAAGCGCGTTGCTGAAAGAACACAGCCAGGGTTCGACAGACGAAGAGAAACCACACCGTTGTACCTGAGGTTTGTCGTGAAGTTGCTGAATCAGCAGTCTCCAGTTCTGGAGGTCGTAGTTGACACGAAAGTAGCCAGTTTGGTTGATGTTGGCGAGCAACCAGGAGCTGTCGTCCATCTGTGTGATTCTGTGGGTCTCTGAGGAGAAAGAAACAACAACAACAACAACAACAAAAAGATAACCTTGTTTTCTGAATTCATCGCTTAAAAAGAATCATAATTCAATGGTTATTAATGAAACAAAAAGAAGCGTACGGGGGGCCTTGGTTTACGAGGTCGTTGAACTACACGATTTCGTGAATTGATTAAGAAGTAGTTAGCAAGTCAAGGCATACCTGGGAAATGGCTTTGATCACATTTGGACAAATACGTCATTATGTGGCGCTATACCTGGGAAATGGCTTTGATCACATTGGATTGTGCTACATTCACTGTCTTTCATTTTTGTTGTTATTTTTGGGGCACTGTCGCCAAATTGAACTACATTGATCCCATACTTGGGAAATTTGCCCCCTGCTGGGCAGGCTGGCCCAAGCAGATGCTTAGCATGTGGTTCCTCTGGGAATCGAACGCAGAATTTTCTGCTTCGGAGGCAGGCGTGCTAACCGCTACCTACATGAACCTACCTAAGTCAGACTCTTCTGACGTTTTCATGTCCTTTTTATGATGTTACCACTGCGTTAGCGTAGCTGACTGACGTAGGTACTTATGTACACTATGTGAAAACTGCGTTACTGTACGTCGCGCAAAGGAACGATATTCCGACATAAGTCGAGGACCCCCTGTGATTTTCTTTTATGAAAACACTGATTTTAAAAAAATCGCTTTATTTCATCGTCCATATTTTCAACACCAACATTGTTCATTTTAATTAGACAAAGAATCTAATTACACAACTGTATCTTATCTCCCCGTGTTGTATTATCTTCTATTCCTGAACTGGAATGTCGAAAACATGTTTGTAATTCAAACAACGTCCACGGCGCCATCAGAACGCCCTTGACAAAACTATTGTTTCGTTTTGACCACTCAGAGGACGCGTACCTGTCCTGTTGTTGATCCAGATAAGTCTCTCTGAAGACACAGAGGTTGAGTTCCCCACAGCCACAGTCAGAGGCACCTGCCACTGCAGACTACAGAGAGACAGGCGGAGAAAGAGAATGAGTGAAGTCACTCAGCATCTGCGGAATTGGATTCTGTTTTATTGCCTCGGTTATCAGATAAAGAGAGATTAAACTCAGAGAAAAAGAGCAATGACCTGGAAATGGAGTGAGCAACACTCACAACGTTCTATACAAAAAGAAGAGTGAGTGCGCGCGTGTGTGTGTGTGTGTGGGCGTCAGACATCACTCACACAAAGAGTTTTTAAGACGGAGGTTAAAGATTCTCACGTCTCTCATTTGCAAGTGTCCTTCACTGCTTGACTGGGTTTTCTATGAAAAATGGCAACAACTTAAAAACTGTTTTGTTTATAATATTTTTCTTGAGTCATTTTTCCAGCAGCTGACATTTAACAACATCTCCGGGTCCAAATGTTGATGCACATTTGATCGCATTGTAAAGTCACATGGTTTCTCATTTCTGCGAGGAACAAAAGCTGCAGTAACTTTAGATGCTTTAAATTTCGCTTCACAGTCTAAAAGTGTTGCCTTGAAATATTCAGTGTTAAATGAGGTCAGTTTGACTATTAGAGAAGATGAATACCCTACATGCAAACGACATCAGAATGTTTTCGCTTAGAAATGCTGCTAAAGAAGTTGAGAGAATGTTGGACGAAGTTGTCTTAGTGGGAAAACTGTCGTAGGTGTGAGAAAGTGAGGAGTGGCACAGGAGTATTTGATGTTGGTGCAGAACACAAACAAGGTCAGTGATTAGTAGTGCAGCTGGAATGACACATGGGTTATTATAGGGTTACATCAGAGATCAGCTCTGAGCATGTTTCTGTTTGTTATGATGAGGACAGTTTGACAGATGAGGAGACAGGGGGCTCCATGGGGTCATGATGTTTGCAGATGACGTTGTAATTTCTGTTTAAAGTAGGTAGAAGGTGGAAGAAAACTTGGAGAGGTGGAGGTTTTCTTTATTTCTTTGGAGTAAAAAGAAATGAAGGCCGGCAGGAAAAAGACAAAATACACGTGCGTAAATGAGACCGAGACATGCCTTACATAATGAGATGCTACTGTAAATTGCTATAGATGCTAATTAATCGTCTCATACACATTAACACTGCTGTTATGTATAAATAATATTAATTATTGCAAACTAACTCAGTGGTCCACAACCTTTTTCCTATCTGGAACTGTAGCCCTCCGGTAGCGGCTCTCCCTCTATGTCATTGTTTCCCAAAGACTGGGTCGCAACCCTCAGGTGGGTCGCAAGAGATTTTTTTTGGGGTCGTCTCGCATCATGTTTCCCAGGAGTTTATGAATAATGTCTATTGACTTGGGTCGCGAAGGTTTGTGACTTTTAAAATATGGGTCCCCAGAAAAGAAGTTTGAGAAACACTGCTCTATGGGATCCAGGTTCCTGCTAATATAAGGCGACATGTAGAGTATGCGTGTAGTGGAAACCAACCGTAGATCTATAAAAAAGCTGGATGGAACAGATGATGAATGGCGGTCATTCAGACTCATCCTGTTTATACGTACAAATATGAACCCAATGGATGTTGATATTGTTAAGGCTCGGTAAAATTTCAAAATAAGACATATTATAGACTCTGCTGTTTGTATTATGGAGTCTGAGAGATGTAATATTTGGAAGGTAGTTATTGTGTATTATGTATTAAACACTGAATTCTGCATTTTTTTTTTTTACAGAATCAACTTCATCCTTAGACTCTTCAGAACAGTCACACAGGAGATTTTCAGAATAAAAGTCTGTCTGGGTTCTGGTGTTAAAACACAAACTCACACTTCCGATTAAGCTTAATTAATAAATAATTAATCTTCACTATTACAAATTATAAATCATCCTAATCCTTACTCTGACCTTAACCCGGCCATATTCTGAACTCCGAGCTTAATCTTGAACCTCAAAATAACCTCTCTCCGTCGGCAGAGACTTGCGAAAAGTCTCCATTACATACGTTTTTTTTTTTCAAATATTCCACACATTAAACCAAGAACACACACACACACACACACACACACACACACACACAGTCATGTAACAAGAGACTTTGGGGACGCAACTGTTTGAACAGTCCTACAGTGTATTGATTAAATCGATTTATATTTTAATTAAAGTGGATTTTAATTACATACCAAACAATCCACTTGAAGCTGGACTTGAATTAACAATTAGTGTGTGTGTGTGTGTGTGTGTCTGTCTGGTGTGTGTGTGCGTCAGGGTCACTTCAACACGATCAGCCGGAGGAGAGCCTTTTACTGAGCCAATAATAGTCGCTCCCTGCCATCGATCAATACCACTGCCTAGCAACTAATATTTAATCTGATATTTATAACAAGGTGATTGACAAGCTGCCGAGTCAGCTGCACAGCACCACCCCCCCTTCACTCACACACACACACATACACATGCTGAGATCAGTGAGGGCAGCAGAATATCTTCATGCATATTTAATAGAAAAGAAGAAGAATGTTTATTCTGGACTATTCTAGTCCTTACAATGATAGCTGCACAAGTGTGTGTGTGTGTGTGTGTGTGTGTTCAAATTTGATGATTTATTCAACAGAAACCGAGACACACACATACTTGTGCAGCTATATTTGTGAGGACATTACACTGTCTTCTATTCATGACAGCCACCTTCACCTTGACCTTAGACAAGATATTAATACTGCAAATGGTCCAATAGAGATAACACACACACACACACACACTCACACACTGCCCATTCACCTAATCGTGTTGATGTGTCGAATAGCCGTGCATTATTTAAGCCGTCACCCAGTCTGTCCTTAAAGGACAGTTCGAGCTTGACTTATATTTTCTGGAAAGTACTGCAGTACGAGGTATTTAGGGAAGCAGGAGGATTTAGAAGAAGCAAAAAAAGAAGAAAGAGATGAAAGCAAGAGTAAGTTGGAAAATAAAGCAGGAGGGAGTGTGGATGGAGAAGGACAAAAGAAAAGGAGAAAAGGAAATAAATAAGAAGGAGGAGGACGCAGCAGGACGAAGGGCAATAAAGGCAAAAGGAAACGGAAGACGTAGAAAGAAGGAAGTAAACGGCAAAAAGGGCACGTGGGTAGAAATGGAAAAAAAAAATCAGGTAAATAAGAAGTAAACCCAGGAGGAAGTTGGTGAAAAAAAAAAAGACTACGGTGCAGGAAAACAAAGGGAAGGAAGCACAAAGATTGACTGATCACAAATATTGTAACACAGCTCTGTGCAATACAACAATTCATTGATCAGGTTAAGAAACCCAGCAAAATAGATTTGACTCAAAGGCAGTTAAACACTTTTTAAGCTCCTGCGGAACAAAATGACTTGGCGGGCCGCGTATGGCACACTTGCCTTGAGTTTGACCCTGAAACATGGGTGTCTAACAAGTAGATTGTGCGCTGAAACATGGGTGTCTAACAAGTAGATCGGGATCTACCAGTAAGTCGCAAAGGGAGTGCTGGTAGCCCATATACATGAAGATATAATGTATAAATACAGTATGTTCAGTTGCTAAGAGTAAATAGGAATGGCAATTTACTTTGATTAATCATGATTCATCGTGATAAATGATGACAGTGATTAATTACGACTAATCGTAATTGATCGCAAGATCAATTACGACTAATCGTAATTGATCGCAACGAGTCGTGATCGATCACAATTTGTCGTGTTTGATCACGACTAATCGGCGAATACCATGTTATTAATTAATCGGAATAAGATTTTAATCTATGTGACACCAAAGTCAAAATACGTGTAACCAGGAGCGAAAAGAATCAACGGCTGCTCTTAGAAAACACTTTCAGTTTGAATGAAGGACGAAGGGGAACCCATGGAGGAGGAGGAGGAGGAAGAGGAGGTGGAGGAGGAGGAGGAGGAAGGGTAAAGTGAGTATAAAACAGAGAACGTTTAAGGGAGGAATGGAGGCGGTCAGAGTGAGGAGGTAGACTACAGAACAGAACAGGGAGGAAAAAGAACAACAGGTAAAAAAGAGAAGGAAGAAAGAGACGGTGAAATAGTGATGATGTTGAAGGAAGTGCGTCGATAAAAGAGTGGAGTGAAGAAACTCCAGAGATCAGGGATAACATGAATAAAACATCAGCAGAATCAAATATGGATGAAATGTAAAGAATCTGGCTGAGAAACAGAGACGTGTTTTTTTTTTTTTTTATCGAACACTTATTGAGACGGAAAAACAACAATTGCCACTGGAGTATTCATACACTTGCCAACCACTGCACAATTCTAAATCTGTGTGTGCTGCCCCCTGGAGCCCAATGCATTAGAGAAGGTGTTTACACACACATACACACACACACACGAAAAAACAGTTCCTGAAGTTCGAACTCTAAAGTTAGCAACGCCTCAATCAGAATACCAAGGTTATTTATGGAGGAACAGGAAATGATGGGGTAGAAGAAATGAGCAAGAGTTGGAGGCAGAGGGAGGAAGACAAACACACGAAGAAGGAAAGAATCTTAACAGAACAAAAAACAAAAAATAAATAAATACACCAAAGGACAGTAGGAGGAGGCTTAGAGCAACGCTAAAAGATACTGTGGATGGATGGAT